CTTCCCTCCCTCCCTCCCTCTCTCTCTCTCTCTCTTTCTCTCTCTCTCTTTCTTTCTTTCTTTCTTTCTTTCTTTCTTTCTTTCTTTCTTTAATTTAGATTTTTGCAATAGGGTATGTACACTCACCTCATTGGAAAAAAGACAGACAGAGACAGAGACAGAAGAAAAGTAAGAAATCATCTCCCAGGGGGATGGCCACATAGCAAATCTTGCTCCTCTTGGAATTTTGAGCATACATGCCCATATGCCCGATGTGTTTTTCAAATCGCCAGTCCAGGACTCTAACTGCACAGTCAGCCATGTGAAATCCAGTGCCTTAGCCACCACCTCACCTGCTGACCTGAACCTTCTTCTTTTTCTGATGTGAGTGCCAGTGCACATGCCCAGTGGAAAAAACCTAAAACAAAAAAGTTCAGCTACTTTGTCACATCAGACATATTTCAAGTGTTTAATAGCCAGAGGCAGCTAGGGGCTATATTTTCAGACTATCCTAACATTTTCATCATCACAAAATGTCCTATTGAGCAGTGCTGCATCTTAGGTAGCTTGCAAATAAGGACAAGAATTTTGAAGGAAGATTTGAAAATATCAATCAATATGAGCCCTTGCATTTTTTTTTTGCTCTAAGAATTTCAATTCTAGAGGGGCCGGCAGGTAGCATGGTAGTTAAGGGTGCTGGACTCCCACATGAGTGACTGTGGTCTGAGTTCCGGACCTGGGAACCTGCTTTCTTGCTTTTCCACCACCCTGGACTCTGTTCCTCTCTGGTCAAATTAAAATAAATAAATAAACAATGTTAAATAAAATGATTCTTCAAAAAACAATCTCAATTCTAGAAATCTGTTTCAATGGAAATACTTTCAAGAGATAAAAATGCATATATACATAAATATATGAATATAAATTGTTGTAAATATATCCATATATATCTGTTTAGTAATGTGGTTGAGAATCTTTCCATGTGTTTGCTGGAGCATTTTGGAGACACTCATTTGTTTTTTATGCTATACATGCGTACGTTTTATAAATAAGGAGGAATATGTCACAACAGGCTATTTCCACAAGGCTCATGCTATGCCGCTTTTAGCTCGCAGACTGGATTGTAGTGGTAGAAACTGATGAATTAGTGCCTTTCCTCAAGAAATTCTCCATCAGCCTAAGGGAAAATGGAAGAGAGATGAAAATGAAAAGAAAATAGAATAACAGATCCAGATAGATTCAACTGCCCTCCTCAATTTAGGCTACTGAGAAGTGCTTAAGAAAATGCAGCAGACTGACAGGCTGAGGAATTGCGATGTCTGATTTCCACTCTAAACTAGGACCTCAGTTCACTCTAAACTAGGACCGTATTTCCCTCCTCTCCCACTCCTCCTGCCCCTAGGCAGCTGTCTCCTGAGTAGTACTCTCACTCATCCCCTTCACTTCCAGCATCCTCCCTCTCCCCAGCTGACTTCACAGGAGAACAGAAGCTTTCCAACTGACCCCCTATACACCCCTTCTTTTTCTCTCAGCCCACTTGCTGTTCGGCCACATAGGCCTCCTGCTTTGCTGTCCCCAAGTGGGATCTCCTGTGGCATCACCTGTCCTCCCTGGAGGCTCAATGGGGCTCTCTTCAGGGGCTTTCCCTCCAGCACATGAAAATGGCCTAGATTATCGACTGGTAAAGAACACAGACCCTGAGTCCAAGTGTTGAAATGTGTGCAGAGACTGTGTGTGCTAATGACATCATCTAGCTAAGATACAGTTTCGGTTTCTTCCTGTGTAACATGGGTGACACAACAAAGGCTTGAGGTGAAGATTTAATGGACTGATTCATGCAAAGAGTTTAGCACAGTGCTGAGCACGCAGTAAGTTTTCCATAATATCGTGTATCATCCACCCCAGTGCCATGATTTCTGTGGACCGACATTTCTTGTCCGGATGGGTACTAGAGCTTCCTAAATAACCTCTCTGACTCAAGTCTAATCTCTTTTTACCTTTCTCTGGAACAGACCCAGACTGGATTTCTTATGAACAAAACTGAAAATACTGTCGGAATTTCCCAGAGCCACTGTATAACCCAGTGATTTGTCCATTCGGCCAGTTACTCCCTCTGCTGTTGGAGCTGGGGTCTTCTTACCTTGGCAGCCTCATCCCCCACACCACCAACGGAACCAGCAAAGCCGTCCTATGAAAGCTCATGGGTTTTGTCTTTTAACAGGCACTTTTCATAGCTTGTTCCACCACTGCACCCAGACACAAAAATCATGCTGCTCCCTAGCATGCTCACACACAGCAGAGAGAACTCCAGGAAACCACCGGAAAAGTGAGCTCAGAAACGCTCTCCCGCCCTGGCTCACTGGCAACCTTCACTGAAGTCAGCAGACAGAGCGGCTGCTGCAGGTGGTGGTGGGATGCAGCGTCTACACAGACATTCCCAGGCTCTCTTCCTACTCTTGTGGGCTCTGGGGCTCCTTCTTGTACCTGAAAGCAAAGCGAGCCCAGTGGAAAACTGGGAAAGACATAGCAGCTTCCCAGACGTTGGGACGCAGTGGCCTATAAAACGCGATTGGACTTGCGTGTCCTGAGGTATTATTTAGACACAAATAAATAGTGCAGATCCGGTGAGCTTTTGTTCATCCTATTTCGCTGTTCCTTCTCCATCCCGATAATACTCTCTGCCTCTCCACCGACCACGTGCCAACGGCCCCTCTCTTCTCTTTCATCCTCGCGCACTGCTCCCTTCATTCTTCCACATGCGCCCAACGGCACTGCCCAGAAAACGAACTAGATGTGTTGCCCTGGACGTGTGCGGGTCTCGAGGCCAGAGAGGTGGGGGTCTCCCAAACCCTGGAGAGCAAGCTCCACACTTTGCACTCTGGCGCCTTCTAGAGGCCGTGCACAGTAGTCTGACTCCGGACGCCTCAGCTATAGGAACTGAGTAGGGAACTGAGACCATGAGGTCAGTGCGGACCTTAGCCTCCCAAGGACGCTCGCTCCCCGTCCTAGTTCTGGCGGTGCTCCTTATTGCCTCTCTGGGGGAGAACTTAATTTTTCACCCTGAATGGGAGTTTGACTCCTTTGACTCCTACGAAGTCACTATTCCCAGGAGACTGAGCTTCCGTGTGGAGGAGCAGGGTGTGGCTAGTCCCGTGTCCTACCTCTTGCAGTTAAAAGGCAAGAAGTACATCCTACGCCTGTGGCCCAAGAGGTTGCTGTTGCCCCGACACCTGCGCGTTTTCTCCTTCACGAAGGAGGGGGAACTGCTGGAGGACCATCCTTACATACCCAAGGACTGCAACTACATGGGCTCGGTGGAAGGGTCTCAGGACTCCGAAGCCACTCTCAGTATGTGCATGGGGGGTCTCCGAGGCATATTGAACATCGATGCTAAATATTACCAAATTGAGCCCCTCAAGGCTTCTTCCAGTTTTGAACATGTGGTCTATCTACTGAAGAAAGAGTCATTCAGCAATCAGACCTGTGGCTTACCTGATGGTGAAATAGAACCTCAGATGGCCCAGGAGGAGAATATGGCTAGAATAAGAGACTTCCCCGGGACCTATATGCACCCAAGGTATTTGGAACTGGTTCTTGTCTTTGATGAGACCAGATTTCGGTTTGTGAGGGGTAATCTTTCTCAAATCATAAATGATGCCATTCTGTTGACTGCGATTATGGACAGCTACTTTCAAGATGTTAGTATGAGGATACATCTAAAAGGTCTTGAGATATGGACAGATTATGACAAAATAAATGTTGAACATGATATTTTATCTGCTGTTTTAGGTGGCTTTGTAATATATAGGAAAAATACACTAAATAGACGAATTTTAGGAGATTGGGCACATTTATATCTTCACAGACGCTATTCCGATGCCCTTGCATGGTCCTTTGGAAAAGTGTGTTCTGTAGATTTCTCTGGATCAGTAAGCTCTATTTTAGATTTAAATGTCCTTGGACCTGCCACTTGGACTACTCACGAACTGGGCCATGCTGTGGGAATGAACCATGATGAAGAATACTGCCAGTGTAGGGGTAGACGCAGCTGCCTCATGGGCACAGGACGTACTGGGTTCAGTAATTGTAGTTATATCAGTTTTTATAGACAAATCCATGCAGGAGTAAAATGTCTAAATGATATCCCAGAGCAACATTATGTGGTTAGGAGATGTGGAAACAAAATTGTGGAAAACAATGAGGAATGTGATTGTGGTTCCAGAGAGGACTGTCTGAAAGACCGCTGTTGCCAATCAAACTGTACGTTGAAACGTGGCGCCAACTGCAGCATTGGACTTTGCTGTCATGAGTGTCGCTTTCGTCCGTCTGGATATGTGTGCAGGCAGGAAGAAAACGAATGTGACCTTGCAGAGTACTGCAATGGGAATTCAAGCAACTGCCCAAAGGACGCTTATAAGCAGGATGGAACCCCTTGCAAGTACGAAGCCCGTTGTTTCAGAAAAGGGTGCAGATCCAGACTAATGCAGTGCCAGAGCATTTTTGGACCTGATGCCAGGGAGGCTCCTAATCAGTGCTATCATGCAGTTAATTTAATAGGTGATCAATTTGGTAACTGTGATATAATGGGGGTTCGTACCTATAGAAGGTGTAGAAGCGATAATTCCATATGTGGCAGGCTGCAGTGCATAAATGTCAAAACCATCCCTGATTTGCCAGAGCATACTCTTTTGATTTCCACTCATCTGCAGGCAGAAAATCTCATGTGCTGGGGCACAGGCTACCATCTACCCATGGTACCCCTGGGGATCCCTGACATAGGTGTGGTAAATGACGGCACCTCCTGTGGTGAGAACCGGGTATGTTTGAACAAAAGTTGTGTCAGTGTCTCAGTCCTGAAGTTTGACTGTTTGCCCGAGAAGTGCAATGGCAGAGGCGTTTGCAACAATAGAAAAAACTGCCACTGCATGTATGGCTGGGCCCCTCCATTCTGTGAAGAGGTGGGGTATGGAGGAAGCGTTGACAGTGGGCCTCCGGGGCTGCTAAAAGTGCAGGTGCCTTCCTCGGTTCAGATTGTGTCTATTGTGTTATTGCGTCTTCTTTTACTAATCATCTCAGTGATTGTTGTGTTTTTCAAGGAGGTGATAGTAAAGTGTTTAGCAGGCAAACAGAAAAAAAAAACCAACAAGGAGATACACAGTCGAAAACCAACACTGAATATACACAGTCGAAAGCAAAGAATGTCAGTCAAAAAAGCAAACAGGAGGTCCACAGTCACTCGGTAACACAGGTCCATTTATTTAATAAGTTTATCATTTATCTGAACGGCTCTTCATTGTTCTCCCACTACTTATTTCTTAAAATTTCCCACAAGTTTTGATCAGCAAATAAATAATATCCATGGTTTGGGAACAATACAGTGCATTTTATTTTATTAGAATTCATTTGTCTCTACTGCAAGTTTGGGGTATCCTGAAAAGAATATACCTTAATGGCTTTTCTGAACATTAAACCTTTGCATGTGCGATTCTTAGGCTTTCCAGATTTCAAAGTGCACTTTCTCTCTCCCAGGGAACAAAGAGCCTGTCGACTTCTCCCTCTGCCTCTCTGATACTCATCAATGTGAATGCCTTTCTTTGCCTGTGCCCCAGGCTGAGTGATCAATGCTGACAGCACAATTTATAAACAGAAAGCATCATTTCAAGGGATGTCCCTTGGATGGGCATTTTTCCTATTGTGATCACTGAGGGTCACTCCAGCTTGGCAGATGTGTGATCTCTGATTCAATGTTTGGGGTGACCTCAGATGAGTTAACAACACTGATTATCACCTCCTGGCAGAGTGGCGGCAAGGCTGTGAGCAAAATGCTGTGTTTGGGGTTTCCACTTGCAGGAGCAGATCATTTTTTAGCATGCATTGAGGAATAACTGGCCCTAAGTTTGCCGCACTACCAAGTATAACAAAGGACAGTGAAGAATGCTTTTCATCTTCAAGGACACATTTCTTAGCACACAGCTCTTCTAGTTTAAGACTGACTTGGGTTTGTTTCACAGTAAAGGTTGGTTACCTTGAACTACTTTCAAAGTGTTTTTACCTGAAGGTGAAAATCAAGAAACTCACATTTTGTAATGATTGTAATTCCAAACATTTATTGAGTATCCATCACCAGAAAAATGTCCTAAAAAATCAAGAACATTGAGTCCCAGCAGCAATACTGATAATGATATCTAACCTTTGTAGAGAGTTCCCTGTATCCCCAGGCAATGTTCTAAAAGCCTCTGCATTAATGTACATACTCTCATAAAGAACTCCATGAGGTAGGTGTTATTGTTTGCACATTAAGGCTGCATAGCTAATAAATATTGACATTATTCAAGGAACTTTATGTAAAAATTCAGAAATTGAATTTAGAGAGGAATATTTACTTAAAAACCCTGAGGATATTGGCACATTAGAAAATGTTTTCTAAATTTTTATTCATGTAAAAATATACATAATATCATATTTGCCATCTTAACCATTTTTATGTGGCAGTTCGATATTATATTTATATTATGTAAGTGATCTTCAGAATGCTTTATCTTGTGAAATTGAAGCTCTCTACTTGTTAAACAGCAAATTTTCATTCTCTATCCCAGCACCTAGCAACCAACATTTTATTTTCTGTCTCTCTGAGTTTACCTGCTCTAGTTACCTCACATAAATAATTGTCTTTTTGTACCTAGTTCGTTTTACTTAGCATAATGTCCTCATGGTTCATACATGTTGTAGCATGTTAGAATTTTCTTTTCTGTAAGCTGAATAATGTTTCTACATATTTATATACCACATTGCATTTAACCATTCATTTGCTGATGGACACTAGGTTGCTTTCACCTTTGCCTATTGAGAGTAATGCTGCTATGAACGTGGGTGTAAAAATATCCGTTGCTGTCCTTGTTTTCAATTCTTTGGGTATATATATTCAGAAGTGGAATTGCTAGATCATAATTCTATTTTTAATTACTTTATGACCTGCCATACTGTCATCAATTCCCCACCAGCAGTGCACATTTTTCTACCTCCAGTCCCAAACTAGGCTTTTCTGTTTTCTAAATAATAGGCTTTCTAATAGATGTGAAGTGGCACCTCATTGTGGTTTTGATTTGTATTTCTGTGATGATTAGTGATGTTGTCTTGGTCAGTTTTTGTTGCTATTCCAGAATATCCAAGATTGGGTGATTTATAAAGACAGGAGGTGTATTTGGTTCACAGTTCTTGTGGCTGGAAAGTCTAAGAGCATAGTGGCAGCATTCGACCACCTTCTGGTGTTATTTGATTGAGTGAGGCAGAAAGACCAAGGGGCATGTACAAAGAACTGCAAGAGGCTGGCCTTGGTTTGTAAAACCTGCTCTCAGTGGAACTAGTCCAGTGAAAATTAATCTGTTCATGAGGAATTTGTCCCATGTCCCAAGCAGCCTGAACTAGGCCCTACCTCCTACCACACTGGTAATCAAATTATAGAGGTTGATGAGAGCCATATTCAAACCATATCAAATATTGAATGTCTTTTTTATATGCTTATTTTCGGAGAAATGTCTATTCAAATCCCTTGCCCATTGTTTAATTGGGTTGTTTTGTTGTTGTTGAGTTGTAGAAGTTCTTTACATAGTCTGGATATTAACCTTTTGTGCATATACAAACTTGAAAGTGTTTTTTTTTTTTCATTCTGTAGGTTACCTTTTTATTCTGTTGATTTTGTGCTTTCATGCACAGAAGTTTTTTATTTTGATGTAGTCATGTGTCACTAAATGACAGGGATATGATCTGAGAAATGTGACATTAGGAGATTTTGTCATTGTGCAAACATCATACATTGTACTTCTACAGATGTAGATGGTATAGCCTACTACACACATAGGCTATGTGATATAGTCTCTTGTAATCTTTTTAAAAAAGACTTATTCTTGATTTTTTTCATCATGATCATTTTTTAATTTGAGCAGAGACAGAGAGAAAGAGAGAGGGAAAGTGAGAAAACAAGTCACCAGGTCCAGGACTTAAACTGTGGTCAGCCATGTAGGAGTCCAGCACCTTAACTACTGCGCCACTTGCTAGCCCTAGCCTATTTTTTTTTTTTTTTTGGAGAGGTTTTTGCTATAGGGCACATGTGCTTGCCAGAAAAACAGAGAGAGACAAAAAGATAGAAAGTGAAAAATCACCCCCCAGGGGGGATGGCCACGCCACAATCCCTTCTCCTCCATTCTCCTCTCAGGATCTCAGGCACACATACACACACGCCCCGCGTGAGTTTAAGCTACTGGGTCCAGGACTCGAACTGTGGTCAGCAACATGGGAGTTCAGCAACATAGCCATTACGCTAACTGTGGGTCCCGCCCTAGCCTACTATAATCTTCTGAGACTACTGTTGTATATGTGGTCAGTTATTGACTAAAAAATTGTTATGCAGTACATTGTGTTATTATGCAACACAATTTATCTATTTTCCCTTTTGTTGTCTGCATTTTAGTCTCATATCCAAGAAATCCATTTGCCAAATCCAGTATCAAAAGCCTTTTCATCATGTTTTCTTCTAGGAGCTTTGTACTTCCTGGTCTTACACTTAGGTCTTCAATCTCTTTTGCCTTAACTTTTGTATATGGTATAGGGTTCATTCTTTTGTAAATGGTTCAGCTTCATTCTTTTGTATGTGGATACCCAGTTTCTTCAAAACTTTTTTAAACTGAATAGTTTTATTAAATTATACAAATATTCATACTTATATTACTTTAGCTAGTGGTAACTCTTATGAATACAATGTCAAGGGTTCTCACCCTTGAATTTATTCTTGAAATTTTACTAGTTTCTGTTTTATCTTTTGTAACATGTAATAACATTGACTGCTTTTTTGAACAGTTTGCAAATTTTCATAGACATCTTTCTGAAAATTTTTACCTTTCTTGTTTTTATATTTTTTATTCAGTTCCAAATATTCAGCTCTAAATATTTTATCCAAAGAACAAATATAAAATATCATATAACAATTTTATTCCCAGGCTGGCATCTGTATCCTAGTGGTTAAGGGAGCTGGCTCTCACATGATTGACTGTGGTTCAAATCTTGGCCCTGATAGATTGAAAAATAGGGGGGCACATGTGCATGGATACCAAGGAGGACAGACAAAGGGAGAAAGAATTGTGGTGTGACCACTCGCCACTAGGGGATGATTTCTCCCTTTCTCTTTTTTCACTGTTTCGCTCTCTACCTCTGGGGACCACATGTGTCTTCTGGCAATTAAAAAATTATATTCCTTTGTGCATAGTCTATTTCATGTTTCATTTAAAAATATTTTGGGGGCTGGATGTTAATGCAGTGATAGTGCAACTGGACCCACGTAGGAAAGTTCCTAGGAATTTTCTGAACCCATGCCCATGATCTGGGCCAGTTGAGACAGTGGGTGAATCATGGTGTATAGATCCTGTTGGGTTGCCTTTCTTTCTCTTGCTCATGAAAAAAATTAAAACAAAAAAATAAATAAAAATATTTGTTTTAGAAGCATTTTTATTAACCAATTTTTTTAAGAGACAGATTTTTGCTATAGGGCGCATGTGCTCACTGGAGAGAGAGCGACAAAAGAAACAGAACATGAGAAATCACCTGGGGGGATGGCCACAGTGCAACCCCTTATCCTCCATTCTCTTCTTGGAATTATGGGCACACACACACACACACACACACACACACGTACCTGGAATGAGTTTTAAGCTGCTGGGTCCAGATTTTAAACCATGGTTGACTATGTGGAAGACCAGTGACATAACCATTATGCCATCGCTGGTCCCTATTGACCAATTTTTTAAAAAGTTCATTTGAGTTTATTAAAAATCAAAGGTGGGACCAGCAAATGGCAAAATGGTTACATCACTGGACTCCCACATGGCTGAATATGGTTCCAGTCCCAGACCTTGTAGCTTGAAACTCAAGCCAAGTATGTGTATGTGCAGGTTCAAAATACCAAGAGGAGAAGGAATTGTAGTATGGCTATGCCTGCTGAGGAGTGATTTCTCGCTTTCTGTCTCTCTGTCTCTCTCTGTCTTTCTGGAGAGTGCATGTGACCTATAACAAATAAATCTCTCAAAAAAACAACAACGACAAACAAAACAAAACAAAACAAAACAATACAAAAAATATTCACCTTAAATGGAGTAAATTATCAAAAAAAACCCAGAAATTATTTTTCATCGTTCCGGAGACTGAAAAAACCAAGATCAGGGTGCAAGCACAGTTGGGTTCTGGTGAGAGCCCTCTTCTAGTTGCATGCTGACAACTTCTGACTGTGTCCCCACATTGGGGAAGGGGACAGGGCCTTCTTCAGTCCTCTTTTTACTTTTTTTTTTTTTAGGTTTTACCACTGAGCATATGTGCTCA